TCCTCTTCTTACCGGCAAGATAACTTCTGTGACATCAGCAGCCTTCCTCGCCTCAAGAGGAGCGCGCTCCTGAGCCCACAGCGAGTCCTTTGCCTCTGCTCTCCTCCTCGCACTCCCGTCCACCTGTTCAGGCCCTTGCCCTCAGCCATCCTGTGAGGAGGAGGAGGAGGAGGAGGAGGAGGAGGAGTTGACCTGGACGATGGCATGTGGAGATAGCTGAGGCAACCATGACGCAAATGTTGCGACGTTGATGAACGTGTCTTTTCCTGTAGATCAGGGAGGACACCTCATCTCAGGCAAACACCAACAAGAAAGGGAAATCAGGACACAGCCAGACAGCAAGACAGCAAGACAGCAAGGAAGCAAGACAGGCAGACCTGTTCCTATCGGGGAGCACAGAACGATCACCATGATATCTCCTTCGTGTTCCTTTGTTTCTTCGCACAGACCATGGAGAACTTGAGATGTTCGCAACACGATAAGTTGCTCGAGCTCTGATGGCTGAAACTCTCCTTCCTGTACATCCTCCACCACCTGCTCCTTGTCCCCGATGATCTCCTCCGCCCATCGTCCCACCTGCTTGCCTGTCAGCAGCGACTAGCAGGCATGCGGCACCAACATGCTCGTCGATGTCGTCGATGCCCACGTCAAGGCACGAGACCTTGTGGCTCTGCTGCAGCCCTAGGCTGACCAGCCCGTCGCTCAGCTTCCTCCCTCCCTTGTACTTGTCGTCCCCCCCCGACATGGAGGAAAAGCTGGGAAGGGCGTCGGGTCAGCGTAGGCTCACGACGGCTCCTCGAGGACAAACCTGCAGGTAGAGGATGCGAGACACAGGACGCAGAACTTCGACACCGTCCTCCTCCTCCCCATCCGCTTGATCGCCCGCAGACACCTCCTCCCTCCCATGACCAGTTCACCATCGTGCTCGCACTCGACTACGAGCACGAAGAAGTCCGACTCTGAGGAGCCCAGCATGCCTGCCGTCTCCTCCGTGAGCTCTTTCACCCTCGTCGAGCCCGTCCTCTCTGCCACCATCCCCGCGATCTCCATCGCTGCCACCCGACCGGCTGCATCCTTCTCCCCAGCAAACAGGATGCAGGGGCTGGAGGCCTGGCGGTACGCGAGGTGGGGGTGGGAGTCTCTGACAGCACAGGGGCTGCTCTTGACCTCAAGGGCGTCTTGCTCGCTGATCTTGGGCTCTACCTCGGGGAAGAGGATGCGCAAGGACGCGTTGAGCCTGCCGAGGTGATAGCGCAGCATGAGGATCTTTCCCCTGTCCCCTCCCCATGTCCTCATGGCTGTATAGCCGCCTGCGACAGGGCAGAGTGAGGTCGATGCTATCACTCGTGCCTGCAGCAACAGCATCTGCTGTGGCTGCTATCACAACCGCGGTCTATCATAGTCGTGCTTTTCAGATGTATCTCTATTCCCATGTCCATATCTATCTCTATCATCGTCTCTATCATCGTCTCTATCATCGTCTCTATCATCGTCACCACCACCACCATCATCTCCATCATCTCCATCATCTCCATCATCTCCATCATCTCCATCATCATCTTCATCATCTTCATCATCATCATCATCATCATCATCATCATCATCATCATCTTCATCATCTCCATCATCGTGCGAACAGCTCTCATCTCTGGACTATCATCGCCTGCCTCGTGCATTGTCGTCACCTTGCGGCGCCATAGTCAGCAGCTCCTTGGCGCTCGTGGGCTGCAGGTGCCCCAGGCACCCGCCATTGAACCTCATCGGCCTTAAATTATTAGTCAACGTCGGGGATCGTCGGGGAACGTCGGGGATGCGAAATGGAGGAGTCGGGGAGAAGGGAAGATGGGGCGGGGGAAGAGAGAGCGGAGAGAGGATGAGGAGAGGATGAGGAGAGGAGGAGAGGAGGAGAGGAGGAGGAGGAGGCAGGGAGGTCAGGACAGAGGAGGAGAGGACAGGGGAAGGAGGACAGGGGAAGGAGAGAGGGGGATGGGATGGGATCGGAGGGACGAGAAAGGGTGAAGATCTTGCGACGAGGTGAAGTCATCGAAGACGAGGAGATGGAACATGGACGGTAGACGCTGATGCGTCCAGGAGTCAACGGCAAGGCTTGTCTCCAGCGACAGCATGGCTTGCAGATCTTGTGGACTACCATCGCTGTCCTGGCTCTCATCTCCGCTACCGTAGGCGCAGATGTGAGATGATGAGTTTTTGGCGCGAGAGTCTGGTGTTGACATGCTCTCTGTCCCCGTACAGGATTGCATCAAGCTCACAAACTCGAGCTTTGCCATGTTGTGGGCTGGTTCAGTCATTGACCTTGACCCCTCCATGCATTTCCACACCAAGAGGTTTGTCCTTCCCGTCTCTCAATCCTGGGGTCGCTCACATGCTCTTCCTCCCTCTCCTCCTTCCTGTTCTGGTTGCTTCTCTTGATCACTCAAGGCTCTCCTTTCGTCTCCTCTGCTATCCCTCACCTCCACCATATTTCCTTTACCCCCGTCCACTCCCCCTTCCACCTCCCTCTCTGCTCCCACCCCCTCCCCTCTCCTGTCCTGTCCTGTCCTCTCCTCTCCTCTCCTCTCCTCTCCTCTCCTCTCCTCTCCTCTCGGTCTTGGTGATGCTTGTTTCTTCTACTCTCAGCATTTCGATGTCGCTCCCCATCCTCCTCTCATGTGACACGGACATCAAACTCTCCTTCTACCAGCCGTCAGTCATTTCGGAGGCAAACACGTCCATCATCACGTACAAACTATCCTGCATGTTGCACCTGTACATCTCGCTAACAGCGTCACCATGCTTCAGATACAACTTGAGAGTCAGAGACGCTCCTGAAAATATCCTCTTGACCACCCAAGGACTGTCGGTGAAAGTGATCGGCCGACCGATCCTCGTTAAGCTAGCAGGTTCCATCCTCGTCCTCGTACCGACGTGCTGGTCTTAACCTGAACGTGCTGCAGCCACCAACGACTCGCTGACGGAGCACGAGTTTGCGTTTGACGCTCCTCCTCTCCGGCTGCAGCAGCCAGGCAAGCAGCTGCAGAAGTGAAGGGAGACGTTCAGAGGAGCTGATCTGCAAACTTCCTTCAGCATTCGCATGGAACCAGCCAAGAGATCAGTCAGACTTGGACTACAAAGGAGAAGTTCAAGTTGTTGTTGATACGCAGCATGAAAGATGTTGACACTAATCGCAGGTTGCCCTCGTTCCGTCAGAAGCCTTCCAGTTGTTCGGAAGCCACAGCTGCTCGTGTGTTGAGAGGGGAGGAACACAGGACGAGGTGCGATGGGAACATGCTGGAGGATGATTGAAGTTGTTGACTTGCGTGTCAAGATGGACAGCATCAGTTGCTACACAGACTGTGAGATGAGAATGTTTGTCGACGGGAAGCTGGCGACAACAAGGTTTGAGGATGAGAGTGGAAGGTTCTTGGCCGATGAAAGAGAAAAGTGCATGTCAAAAGATCGAGAAGAATCGTCCAAACCTTGTCTTCGATGACACAAACTCCTTCTGGTTGTATTCCTTGACCATCTTGTTGTTCGAGTTCTCATCTCACCCTCTCAAGCTATCATCACTGCTCTCTGGCCATGACTTGCTGTCCCATGCTTCCTTAGCCTCATTTTTTCTCGTCCGAAACCCCTCCCCTCCCCTCCCCTTCCTTCCCTTACCCTCTTTCCTAATCGTTACTCTCCTCCACTTCCTCGTCCTCCTCTCCTCTCCCTCTCTAGTCCATCTGCTCCTCCTCTCTCCTCCTGTCCCTGACGGTTCTCTGCTAGGTGTTTACCTCCTTCCGTCCTCACAGGAGCTGCGGGCCAAGGAGTTCATCACGTGTCGGCGGATCTTTTCAAGCTCAACCATTTCCCGCTATCATCCACGTCCATGTGAGCAAGCTCCTTGCTCGATACATCACATGACACGCTCCTCCTCCGCCGCCACCTTCCCTTCTCACTCTCACTCTCGTTACCCCATCCTCCTCTCCTCTCCCCTCCTCTCTCTGCTCGTCCTGCCCCTCCTCCACTGTTCCTCCTTCCTTCCTCCCTGCTTCCAGCTCCAGCTTCAGCATCGGCCGAGGCAGCGACCGCTTCCACAACATGTACCAGCACTACAGCAAGTCGCACGCCATGTCCAGGGCAGCCGCGAGCCTCTGCTCCCCTGCTCACACCCAGCCAGACTGGGAGGCAGGAAGGTGCATGCGGGCGCTGGTGTACTCCTGTCCTCCTCAGCACACCTGCGGGGGGCTGGCAGACAGGATCAAAGGCATTCTGTCATCCTTCCTCCTCGCCATCCTATCCGGGAGATCGTTCTTCATCGACTTCTCCTCTCCCTTTCCCCTTCACGACGCTCTGAGGACGAGGACGATCGACTGGAGGCTGGAGGGAGTGGAGGCGCTGGAGCCGGTCATGGCAGCTTACAGGCGCTTGGAGAAGTCGCCGTCGACGTCGTTCGTGGTGGAGGACAGCAGGATTGAGTATCGCGATGTGACGTCAGTCTCGTCCTTCAAGACGTTTGCGACGGAGCTGGAGGATGTGCTGGAGGCAAGAAGAAAGACTGTAGAGGGATGGAGTCTCACGTGTTAGGTCAGGGGTCGAGTCAACCCGTTTGGATCATGACGACCAATATCGCCATGTACAAGACTCTGCTGACTGGCAGGCAGACCCGCAGGCTGATGGAACTGGCCGGTGACAACAACACTTGTGTTGAAAGAGCTGAGGGGAATGTTCAGGTTTGACAGGCTTGTACCCATCACCCACGTCGCATCTTTTCCGCAAGTTGTTCAACATGTCCGAAGAGCTCCAAGTGAACAAGTTGACTTGACGGTTGTCTCTGCTTCTGACAAGCCGTTAGTCTTTCATCTCCGACCAGATCGGAAGGCTCAAACCTCAATGGTCGGAGGAGCTTCTCCGGAGGAAGCAGCGGTGGTTGGCACGTGGAGGGAATAAGGAGGAGGAGGAGGAGGAGGATCGAGGGCAGGCGGAAAGGGGATGGAGAGGAGAGGAGCAAGACTCTCAGGTGTTCTCGGGAGAGGACAAAAGAGTTGGTGATTCTTCTGTCAGGTCTTTGTACTGCAACTGAGGACAAACTATGAAAAGAGATGGAGGGACCCTCACAATGTTGGATTGGAGGTAAAGAAAGGAGGAGGAGGAGGAGAGGGAGAACGAGAACGAGGGCGAGGGCGAGGACGGAGAGAATGAGAAGGAAATAGAGGAAGCAGAGGAGGAGGAGGAGGAGGAGGAGGAGGAGGAGGAGGAGGAAGCAAGAGGAAGCAGGAAGGTCGAGGGACTAAGGAAGAGGAGGCGACAGTCAGACAGAGCAGAGCGGGTCAGAGAAATGGTTAGCAGGAAGGGAGAGGGTCAAGATGGAACAAGTCTGAAAGAGGAAGGGATAAAGTGCTGAGGAATGGAGCGGAAAGGAGAACAGAAGAGGAGGCAGCAGCAGCTGCTCAGGGAGCGATGGGCTGACGCTCGTGTTCAGGACATTCCCTCCATGCTCGCGTGCTTGAGATCGAGGATAGGATGGGATCGCCACGTGCTGCACGACGACGTGACTGTTGTGATCTCAGACAGCCAGAAGATGAAGGAAGAGACGATGAAACAAGCTGCGTCCGGTGAGGAGGAGGAGGAGAGGAGAAGAGGAAGTAGAGAGGAAAGGAGGTTCAGGAGCGCAGCAGCAGCAGCAGCAGCAGCAGCAGCAGCAGCAGCAGCCGCCGCCGCAAGAATCTTCTCTGTATCGCAAGAATAGTGCAGTGAGAGAAAATATGACAGGGAACAAGACAGAGAGGAGGAGGAGGAAGAGGAAGAGGAACGAGCAGGAGCAGGAGCAGGAGCAGGAGCAGGAGCAGGAGCAGGAGCAGGAGCAGGAGCAGGAGCAGGAGCAGGAGCAGGAGCAGGAGCAGGAGCAGGAGCAGGAGCAGGAGGAAGAGCAGGAGCAGGAGCAGGAGCAGGAGGAAGAGAAGGAGGAGGAGGAGGTCGCTCGGGCTGACCGGCCGACTGCAGAGCAGTACAACACGTCCAAGTTCATCATGTTCGACATCCCAAGGGTGACTTCAGACTAGCCGCCAACAAAGATTCCGCTCACCCCTCTGCTCAGATTGTCCACATCGACCGTGATGACGTCACGGTCGCCTCCCAACATTATCACTGGGTCTTCCTTGAGTTCTTCGTCATGACCTGGTCGTCCCCCCTCACCATCAGCTATACCTCCTCCTCCTCCTCCTCATAATCATCATCCTCCTCCTCCTCCACCACCACCACCACCTTCTCGTCCTCGTCCTCGTCCTCGTCCTCCTTCTCTTCATGGACCTCCTCCTCCTCCTCCTCCTCCTCCTCTGCTTTGCCCCATGACCTTGCTTGCTTTCGTCTTCGTTGTTCCTTGTTCACTACTTCTAATATCAGCAGCAGGAGTGACGTGGTATTTGCATCCAGCGGAGAATCCTTTATGTTCCCTCCCCCAACTAGTACTCAACAAACTAAAGAATACCTCGCCCTGACCACAGGGAGTTCTACGACGACCCTGCGTTATCACCAGAGGTTCCCCTTGACTTGAGCAACTGAGTCTCGTTCTCCGGCTGACTTGAATGGTTCGATTGATTTCCATTCACGTGCAATTCCACGAGCTCGTTTTCATGCTCCTGCAATCAGCCGACGAGTCAGGGAAGATGCTCTACGCAGGAGACACAAGACACCTCTCGCAGCTTCGTCTGTCGCACGGGTTCCCGTATCCACTTCTTGGTGATCGTCAGGAGGATCGGGCTCGAAAGCGTGATCAGCCGATGACAAACCACATCTCCTTGCTTCG